CTAAACTCGCTTATGACTCATAGCACCTATGAACCCAGAGCTCTGATACCAACTTGTCACGACCCTAATTTCCTTCCATAGAATGTTGTGACGACACCTAGTCTCTATAACTAGGTAAGCCTAACACTTACTAAATTAATAGAGAAATCAACCATCAAACGAAGAATATGATAAAAATCTAATACACAATTATAATTCCCAAAATTGATAGTACAAGTCATAAGCTTTACTAAGTTTGCTTAGAAAATCCTTAAGTACAACTATTCTAAATGGAAATCAAACAGTATAAAAAACGGAATGAAAGGGTTACTTTGAGGCCTACGAACGCGACTGCAGGTTTACCTTGAGTCAAAACAACTCGACCAGACAGCTAATAATCAACAACAACTGTGGCACATGGATCTGCACAAAAATATGCAGAAGCGTAGTATGAGTACACCACATCGCTACCCTGTAATTATAAAGACTAATCTAGATTAAGTAGTGACGAGGGACAGTCCTGACACCTACTGGACTAAAAAAACTTGAACAAGTATGCTGATGAACTAACAGAGATAATATTAATATAAAATAAACAAAATAAGGGATACAAAACAATACTTGCAATGATACACTAGTAACAACAATAGGCAACAAGAAGCAGTCAGATAATAATGCTATAAAGTAACTGATCACAGTCTAAGTCCGGGGAGATACAAAATAAAGAGAAAACCAGCAGCAACTCAATAAGTACAACCACTTTCACATCAGATCTGTTCAATCATTTTCACGAGGAACTGAACCTTACAATCACAGCTCATGGGTCCCAATTCTTGAACCCTAATCACTTGGCATCTTGTGCCCATATTTCAATTTATAGCCGCACGGACGACTCACGTGCCAAGCGAAAACAACTCTCACTCGGAAGGCCAGTAGACAAAGATACATGTAATGGTCAATAACGTTAGGATTCATCTTCTTAAACTGATATGGGTGATTAATCTACGTGTATGCTTGTAAAAGTGTTCTACCGCGATCTAAGTCAACAAATAAGAACAAAGGCCATGAATGGCACATAAGAAATGATCATCACAAAATATACAATGCAAATGAGACAACAACGAAGTTTGAAGCAACGACCATCACAACAAGATTAGATACATAGAACTGAGCATATAATGCAACACAGAGGAGAACAATTAATAGTACACTAAGGAAAACAACAGTCCAAGACAAGTGCACAGAAAAGGGGAAATGACAACAGAGCCTTCCCGAGGTACCACCTCGTAGTCTCAAATCGTAAAATGAATAACAATGGCATGGAAGAAACATCATACAAATAGTAACAGCCGCACGACAGAAACCTCGTGCAACAATAACAACCGAATGGCAGAAACCTCATGCCACAATAAAATCCGCACGGCAGAAATCTCGTGCCACAATAACATCTGCATGACAGAAACCTCGTGCCACAATAACATCCGCACGATAGAAACCTCGTGCCATAATAACATCCATATGGTAGAAACCTCGGGCCAAAATAACATCTGTACGGCAGAAACCTCTTGCCACCACAATACTGAATGCCACAACAACAATGACAGAACACAAGAATACAACAAGTAAATCAACACAGGGACTCCAGAACACAAAGAGATGGAAGAACATCTCACAAAAAAAGACACAACAGGAAATAATGATACAACATAGCAATAACTCAAAAAGGAAGAGATGTTGTGCAGAAAATATTCCACATAAGTCTAATTCAACGATAAGAGGGATAACATGAATCAATAACTCCAATTAAGGGTACGTCAACAATGATAAGGAATAACAAAACTTCAATTAGAGTTAATCAATTACTGAAGGGATTCAACAAACTCAATTAAGGATAAGCAGATCATGAGAAAGATAATAATAACTTCAATCAAGGATAAATAATTACAGAAAGGATAGCATAGCAATAAAATAAGCAACAACTTCAGTTAAGGCACATAAGAGTTTAATTAGCAAAAAGGGTAAAACTTGGAGAAATTAATTTCAATTAAGATACATAAGGTGAATTTAGTAAATGTGGAATTTAACATAACAAAACAACTTCATATCTAATGAACATAAGAACTTAAGAGCCCTAAATGGATAAATTTTTACAAATAAGCCCGAGCATGTGCTCATCACCTTGCGTACACGAGCTTTACATGACACAATTAGCACCAAACACTCAAATCGTAAGGGGTAGTTCCCCCATATAAAGTTAAGCAAGATACTTACCTCAAAGAAGATAGATCGTTACTCTAAAATGAACTTCTCGAGTGAAATAACCTTCAGACAACTCAAATCTAGCCAAAATAACTTCAAATCACAAATAAAACTCATAAGAAATAATTCCAGATAATAAAGCTTCAATCTTTAATAAAAGCTAAAAAGTCAACCCCTTGGGCCCACACCTCAATACCCGATAAAATTCATAAAACCCGAACACCCGTTCCGATATGAGTTCAAGCATACCATAATTATAAAATTCCGATACCAATTTGTCCCTCAAATCACCATTTTACATTTTGAAAGATTTTTTCAAAAAATTCCATTTTTCTCAACTCAAAACACTAATTATAAGATATAATCATGAAATATAATAAATTTCGGGTGAAGAACACTTACTCCAATGATTTGAAAACCATCGAAGAATCGCTAAAAATCGAGCTTTACAACTCAAGATATGGTACAAATGATCAATCCTCGATTTGGAAGATATATTCTGTAGCCCAGTGATTTGTACATCGCGATCACAGAACTAAACATGCGATCACGAAGAAGAAACAAAACTGCCCAAAAACATGTATTACGCGATCACTAACTAACTTGTGTGATGGCGAAGAAGAGGCAAATAGCGGTGTCATAATGTGCTACGCGAACGTAACAGGGGACGCGAACACGATGATGGAAAATTCAAACGTAAGCGATCGCGAAATATTACCTACGAACGCGAAGAAGAACCACGCCTAGCTCCCACAACAGGAGATCGTGGCAGCATACATGCGATCTCATAGAGTACCTGGAGCATCACAAAACCAACAACTCTAAACATGATGAATGACACGAAGCCCATCCGAAATACACCCGAGCCCCCCTGGGACCCCGTAGAAATATACCATCAAGTTCCATAATATAACATGGACACGCTCGAGATCTCAAATCATATCAACCAACGTCGAAACTACGAATCGCACCACGAATCGAACTTATGACTTTCAAATCTTCCAACTTCCAAAACTCGTGTCGAAACCTATCAAGTCAACCCGGAATGACGTCAAATTTTGCATGTAAGTTTCAAATGACATAATGGAGCTAATTCAACACTCAAAATCGCATTCTGGCCCTGATACCACTAAAGTCAACTCTTGGTCAAACCTTTTAACCTTCCAAAACTTGAACTTCCAAATTTTCGCCGAAATGCTTCAGATTACCATACAGACCTCGAAATCTAAATCCGGACGCACGTCTAAGTCCAGAATCACCATACAAAACTATTGGAACTGTCAAAACTTCATTCCGGAATCGTTTACATAAAAGTCAAATTCCGGTCAACTCTTATCGCTTATGCTCATAAAACAAGAATCATTCTTCCAATTTGATCCTGAATCATCCAGAAGTCGAACTTGACCACACACACGCCATAACACATAATACGAAGCTGCTCGAGACATTACGCCGCCGAATGGAACGCTAATTCTCAAAACGACTGGCCGAGTCATTATATTTGTGAATAAAGTCCCACATAAAAAGTAGAAAAGAAAAATGATCTACTTATAAAGAGTTGGATATTCTTAATGTTGTGAGGTCTTTTAGGAAAAACCGAGCAAGCTTGGTTCAAAACGGATAATATCACACCATTTAAGAGTATCTTTAGACTGTTTTAGTCCAATCGATGGTAGCTAACACGAGGAGATGACAGAAGTAAAGAGATGAAGTTGGGATTTTATTGGAATGAAGAGTTTTGTGGAGATTATAAAAAATATAAAAGGGATAAAAATGTAAAACAGTACTTGTTCAAATTCAAATAGCCTTTAAGCTAAAATCTATAAGTTGGAGTTGTCCATCTTGTGACTGTTGGCTTATTTCAAAAGTATTTTTAAGCTGATTTAACTAACTTTTAAGCCAATTTAAGCATCCTCTAAATCTGGGCCTGATTCTAAAGATCTATATTAAGCCAGTTGCCGTATATCTTACTTATTAATAGCGTACGCACTTCCTCTATGTAATCGTCATTGTAGATATTGATCCAAAGTTCAAATCTCAATGTATACTTTAAAGGTTGCATGGGTTATCTAACTCATCCAATAAAAATTTCATTAAAGGGGTGACCCAAAATTGTTACTACAGCAACTTGGCTACCATATTGGATTAAATCACCCAATGAAAATAATATTTTCAGGTTAGCTCGAATTGCATAATACAAGTTATTCCTCGAGATTTGAACAGTTGCGCACTAAGTCCTCCGTCTCGAGAAAATTTTATTTACCTAAGTAAGAGACAACGAGCTTAAATTTTTATATGTAAATATTTATACAATAACAACATAACTAGTGTAATTTTACAAGTAGGATCTAGGAGGATAGTAATTGTGTACTTTATCATACCTTGTAAAGTTAGAAAGTTTGTTTCGGATAAGCCTATGGCTCAAGGAAAGCATTTCAAAGCAGTTATGAGCTTATACACTCACATAAAATCACGTTACTCAAATTTTATTTATAAATAACTTTTCATAAAAAGTGAAATTTGTACTTTTAAATAAGAAAAATTATCTACTACAACAAAAAAATAATACTATATAACCTTATAGTATTTTTTTTTTTGCATGCACATAAATTAAGCTCAAATAAAACGTAAGTATGAAATCTGATTAAAAAAACAAATACCTTAACTACGTAGAAATAAAGCAGCACGAAATAGGATGCAAGCCTTTAGGTTTTAAGTAGAAAACCAAAATCCATTTAACAAAGAGTCATACTCTTTACAAAATGAAGGAGATATCTCCCCGGAAACGTTACGTCCCTTTCCCTAATAACCGCAAATTAGTCCCAAAACTTTGCACCATTTTTATTGTCAAGAGCTTTCTAATTTCCATCTGCTTCGTGGCCTCCATTTATCTAATAGTATCCTTCACTGTTAATTTCTCCGACAGTGAAGAATATATCAGCAAAGAAGAAAAAGAAAAAGAAACAACCATATCCCACATCGTGTTTGGCATCAGAGGGTCCGCTAAAGCATGGAACAACCGCTCACGTTACTCTGAGCTCTGGTGGAGACCAAATGTAACGCGAGGGTTCGTGTGGCTCGATGAAAAGCCCCACGACAACGAGCCATGGTCTGAAACTTTCCCACCTTATAGGGTTTCTCAAGACAAGTCCAAATTCAAGTACACTTGTTGGTTTGGTGACAGGTCAGCTGTGAGGATTGCGAGGATTGTAAAGGAGAGCTTTGAACTAGGTTTAAAGAATGTGAGGTGGTTCGTAATGGGAGATGATGATACTGTGTTTTTTCCAGAGAATTTGGTGACGGTTTTGGCTAAATATGATCACAACCAAATGTATTACATTGGTGGGAATTCCGAAAGCGTAGAGACCGACGTAGTATTTTCCTACAGTATGGCTTACGGCGGTGGCGGCTTTGCTATTAGCTACCCTCTCGCGGCGGATCTCGTGAAGATTTTGGATAGTTGCATTAATCGCTACCATTACCTGTTCAGTTCAGATCAAAAGATAGGTAGTTGTGTAGCTGAGATTGGCGTTTCTCTCACCAAAGAACCCGGTTTCCACCAGGTATAAATACAATCTTTAAAAATAATTTAACTTTTAAACTTTTCAATTTTACCTAATGAAATACTCCTTCCGTTCCGGTCTATGTGAAATTATTTCCTTTTTGGTCTATTCCAAAAAGTGACTCCTTTCTAAATTTGGAAACAATTTAACTTAAATTTGCAATTCTACCCTTAATGAGAAGTTTTATTAACCACATAAATACTCCGGGCTCCTTTTTAACTAGTTTAGGACCACAAATTCCAAAAATCTGCATTTTTCTTAAACTCTGTGCCCAGTCAAACATGTTCACATAAATTGGAACGAAGGGAGTAATTTGTAGCCATACAAATAGCTAAAGCTTTTTTTCGACTACAAATTTTAAAAGTCTTCCTTTCTTTCTTAAGATGGATATACACGGAAGTCCAAGAGGGCTTTTGGCAGCACATCCCGTGGCGCCACTGGTCTCACTGCACCATCTGGACGTGTATGTGTTACAACCTTTGATTCCTTCAATGAGCCGATTTGAGTCAGTGAAGAAGGTGATTGAGGCTTACAACAAGGACCCAAGTCGGACGTTGCAACATAGTTTGTGCTATGACCTAAAGAGAAACTGGTCATTATCAGTGTCATGGGGATTCTCAGTTCAATTATATCCGTGGCTGATGAATGCAAGAGAATTAGAGATGCCAATGCAGACATTCAAGACATGGAAAGGATCTGAAGAACCATTCACATTCAATACTCGGCCAAACAATGTAGAACCATGCAAGAGTCCTATAGAGTACTACTTGGATCAAGTTCTTGACCTTAGCAATGGTGAAACCTTGACCAGTTATAATACCATTACTGGTATTAACAAGCAATGTGAGAATCAAAACTATAGACCAGCTTTAGCAGTTCATATGGTTAATATCACCGCGTCAATGCTATCTCCCGAAGTATGGAGACAGGTAAATTTCTACTTCCCGTATTTCAGTTTATGCGAATCTGTTTGTCTAGGCTTGAGAAAAGAAAGTTTTTTTTTGGAACTCAAGGTCTTTATAAGAGTACTCTCTCTTTATGCGAAATTAAAGTCACGGCCACTATTCTATCTCCTCAAGTATGGAGAAAGGTAAATTTCTACTCAATTAATTCGTTCCAGAGAATCATATTTGAGTAGATACATGAAGTTTAAAAAAGGAAAAAATAATTTTGGAACTTCTGGTCTTAAATATGCTATGTTAAGGTTAAATTGGTCTATTTATTTTTTTGAAGTAGACAAAAATGAAAATAATTTCACGTAAAATGAAACAAAGTGATTAATTTATTTATTTTGATGAAATCTTTCTTAATTATTAATTTTACTAACATAAGATTGACGACTATACATCTATAAATTTTCCATCTCAAATTTATAAACCATTTTTTGGTTTTTGAAGAATTTAATTATGGCGAACTCATTTGTACGAAAAAATAGGCACCACGACGACAATGTTGCGAAGTGATCAATGAAGAAGATGGTATTAGGAGCAGCTTACACATCAGAATCAAAGGTTGCAATAAGTGGGAATCAGTAACGCCGCCCTTTTACGACAAGTATGGAGACTTTGCCTATTTTCAGAGAATGGTTCGATGAATGAAAGTGAAAATTTTCAGTGGCTATATCTGGGAGAGGAAATTGAAATCCTTACTAACCAATTGTATCCTCCCCCTTTATCCATTGTGTTTTAAGATTTTACATGGCGAATCTTTTTGTATTTTCAATGTTATATGCCCTAGACTTTGAATCCGTCAATACATATCAGTCATAACTAATATATTCTCCGTGCATATACTTTGTTATTCTCTAGTGTAGAAACTCGTATACGTATTTTTCCTTGATCGATACTCAAATTTATTATCACCAATATAATAAACATACGCTAACGCTGCAACTGTAAAAACTATTCCGTCCGTAATATCTTTCTATAAGATTTAGCACCTATGATTGTGGAGGATCTATGTGGAGGGCACGGATTCACGTCCATCATGCTCCCCTCCTTATATCATGTATAACAATAAAAGTGTTATATCTCTTCAAAAGTATTTAAATATATATGAGTACTTAAGGTTAAAGACTATATGGTGCAATGTTTATTAGGTATACCTTTACCTTTGTAATTGAGTTGGGGTTTCAATTCCCATTCTCACGTTTGTTTTTTCCTCCCCTTTTTTTAGAATTGGGTTGACCATCCCATGTCTTGTGTCTCTTCTTGCGTTTTTGTAGCTAAGCACTTCTTTTCTTTTTCTTCCTTTCTTTGTTTAGTTTATTGTTTAAAATTTCCAAAGGCTCAGACATTAAAATATTATTCTCCCTTTGTTGCTGCAATGTTTTATAAAATTAAACTAAATATCTATATTGTACAATTGTTTTTTTTAAATGGAACTTTTAATTTTATAAGTATAATAAGTTTAATGGTAAGAATATAAAAAGAAGGGATAAAGACCAGATTTGTTCGTCTACTCTACTAAATTGTTAACGTTTATACCTAGTTCTACTATGTATTCAAATACATCTCTACCGTTAAAGAAAGTAAATAAATTTATCCCCAATCCTAACATAGTTCCATCATGGCACTGGGACCTTTCTCTTTTAACCGCCAACTAAGCAAATTTCCAACCCAAATTAAAAAGAACTGTTCCTAACCCGACTATCCAAGAACCCGATTTAATAAATGTGTTTATTAAATACCTTTTGCTGATGGGTAAGATCGCGTGGATCTCACTTTTCCCAACGTGTATAAGGGTTGCCGAACTCCGGCGATCGTCTTTATCAGCATAATTTCTTCATCCTCTCTGGCCATCTTCATTTTCTCAGTTTCTGTGCCACGGTGGATCTCTGTTATGGTTGGGGGCAAATTTATTTACTTTCTTAATGGTAGAGAAGTATTTGGACACATAGTAAAATTAGGTATAAACGTACATAATTTATCAAAGTAGAGGGACAAATTTAGCCTTTAATTTATCCCTAAAAAGAACACTCAAATTTATATTATGGCTCCAATATTAATTTTTGTTTTTGCAATCCTGAATTCGCCCCTGCCTATGGTTTAACTAAAATCAGTTTATCTATCATTATTGAAAATCGCACTGGTTGTTCGGCTGGGCACTCCTTGTTTGCATATGTAACCTATCAAAGTAAATTTTAGTTTTTCTTTTATTTTTCTATATACTTGCCACGTGTGCTGCTGGCCTGAAATCACTTTATTTTGGACGAGTTTAACTTATGATCATATTTGACCTATTATCAGTGTTTAAAAAGTGTTTTCGGGGCGAGCTCTGGAGCGAAACATACCAAAAATGCCATGAAGCGATGGTGGGGTAAAAGTCTCTAGAGGCGTACGACGCCAAAATTTGATCACACCCAACTATGTCTCCTAAGAGGACTAGCGGTCATTGCAAATATAATCTGGTTTACTGTCACGATCCAAAAGTCCCTCCGAACCTAGTCTCTAAACTAGGTAAGCCTAACATTAACTTAAATAACATTGATATTTGCCAACTTTAAATTCAATAACTCTTAACAATTTACAATTCCCAAAACCGGTGGTACAAGTCACAAGTCTTTCTAAGAGTAGTTGTACAAAATAAATACATCATTGTTCCGAAAGAAAGGGAACAAATGGAAATAAGTACAATTGAAGGTGACTCCGAGGCTTGTGAACACTGTAGCAGGTTTACCTTGAGTCTCCACCACAACGACTCGCATAACTGCTACCGATCAAATACTTGGATCTGTACACAAAAATGTACAAAAGTGTAGTATGAGCACACCACAACGGTACCCAGTAAGTATCAAGACTAACCTCGGTAGGGTAGTGACATGGAACAGTCAAGGCACCTACTGGTCAAATAAACTGAGCAGGATATAACGATAAACTATTGAGATATGATAACAAGGTAATATCAGCAGTAGGGAGAAAACTCAACCACAAAGAGTAGAAACGATAAAGGGAAACACTGATGGAAACGAAGATAACTAAGTAAGTTAACACCAACATAGTTGGGACACAAACAAGTAAAATGTACTCAAATAAGAAAGGCGATGTCAACTTAATAAATTATATCATTTCGGATGCACAATTCCAGCCATCTCAAACTCGATGTCTCATATCATAACCTCAACTACCAAACCTTTAGCACACCCGACACCTCGTGCCCACATATTTCTATCTCACTTTGCGCAACGACGTTCTCATGTTACTCAGTACATAGGGTCCATAACCAATGCAATTAAGATGTTCAAGGAGTTTCATATACATAACAAAAATAAAGTACGTTTTCTAAACCAACTAGGAACTCAACAAGAGAAGATGGAGTTATTATTAGAAATCATTTGAATAAAGAAGGTACCATTTTCAATTACGATACCACATCGGATGATTTATTACCTTTAACATGGGATTTGATAAATTAATTTTGTTGAAACTCCTCTTAAGTAAAGTACAACCTCAACGGTTTAACGAAATTTGATTGATAAACTAATNTATATATATATATATACGGCGAGGTTTTGTAAACACTATCGATTCTAACACAAAGGATCACAGCAGTAAAGGAATCTAAACAGTTAAAACACTTGAATTGGTAACAACAAATACAATAGAGACAAAATAATCACAGAAGGAGTAAAACTCAACGCAGAGATAACAACCGGGGATCTCCCAGAATACCGTCATGTAGTCCCAGATGTAAATACTCGCGGATCTCTCAGTATCCTCCGTATACGAGCTAGGGATCTCTTGGTATCCTCAATATATGTGCTGGGGATCTCTTGGTATCCCGAGGATCTCTTGGTATCCTCAATATATGTGGTAGGGATATCTTAGTATCCCGAGGATCTTTTAGTATCCTACCTATATAAGTGCTGGGGATCTCTTGGTATCCTGAGGATCTCTTGGTATCCTCAATATAAGTGCTAGGGATCTCTTGGTATCCCGAGGATCTCTTGGTATCCTCAATATAAGTGCTAGGGATCTCTTGGTATCCCGAGGATCTCTTGGTATCCTCAATATAAGTGAAGGGGGATCTCCCGGGATATCATCCCGTAGTCCCAAAGTAAACATGCAGGAGGATCTCCCGGGATATCGTCCCGTAGTCCCAAAGTAAACACACAACAACAACACGAGGAATACTCAAAAACAATCCAACAACCCAATCACAAGGAATTCCACCACCAAGAGTATGAATACACGCCAACAAGAGAATCACGAAAAAACCAATAAGTGCAATACCCTTAACAAAAAAATGAGACACAACAGGCACGTGATACCTACACTGACAACCACAACAATTTGGACTCATACCATATATACAGAGTCATAGAGGAATTTACAATTTAGAGATAACAAAATGATAAGAAGAACAATCGCTTCAACTAAGGCAAATAAGGGAAAGTAACAAGTATGAGTTAGAGGGAAGCTAACAATATCGTATGGAGCATGTAGAGGCAAATTAAGCAATTAGGAAACTCAATCATAACGGAATATTTCCCACATAATGGACATAAGGACCTAAGAACCTTAAAAGAAAATTTTCCACAAATATGTCTGAGCTTACACTCGTCACCTCACGTGCACGGACTACAAATAGCATAGAAGACTCAAAAACCTAAGGGGAAGTCCCCCACACAAGGTTAGGCAAGATACTTACCTCAATTCGGATGATTCAATACTTAATTTAGCTTTTTTTTTAGCAATTCTTCAATGCTCGGCTCAATCTAGCCAAAAATGACTTGAATACATCTAACAATGCAAGAGAAAATAATTCCAATTAACAAAACTATGATTCAAAGATCTACAACTTTCGTTTTTGAATAATCTCAAAATTCCCTGTAGATCAAAAAATATAAACTTCCGAAGTAGGACCAGCGATCCTGCAGAACATTTTGATGTGCGGTCGCACACCATTTTGTGCGGTCCGTGATCCGCACTCCCAAAAGTACCAGGACCATCTTAGAGTACCAAAATTCCCGAACTCGCTCAAAATTCACCCTGAAACTCATCCGAGACCCTTGGGACCTCAACCAAATGTACCAACACATCCCATAACATCATCAAAATTTAGTCGAGCCTTCGAATTACTCAAAACAACACCAAAAACCAAATCCACCTCGGGTTCAAGCCTAAGGAATTAGAAACTTTCAAATTCCACAAACAACGCCGAAACCTATCAAATCAAGTCCAATTGACCCCAAATATTTGCACACAAGTCATAAATAATATAATGGAGCTATTCCAACTTCTTGAGTCAGATTTTGATCTCGATATCAAAAGGTCAACCCCTCAGTCAAATTTCCAAACTTCGACTTCTCGTGTTCACCATTTCAAGCCTAATTAAACTACAAACTTCCAAATAATTTTCCGGGCACGCTCCTAAGTCCAAAATCACCATACAGAGCTATTGGAGTTATCAAAAATCCATTCCGAACCCGAACCAATCTCCCCGGAAAGTTACATAAGAATCGTGAAGCATGAATTTAGTGGTAAATGGGGAAACGAGGTTGTACTTATTCAAAATGACTGGTCGGGTCGTTACATTCTCCCCCTCTTAAAACATATGTTCTTCCCCGAACGTACCAAGATTATTCTTGGGTTACCAAATTTGACATTACCGCATTCGACATAAGTCCGACAACACCATTTCAATTGAGATTATTTCCTTTATCTATATTTGTAAACTTTACGACCAAATTTCTTTCACTCTAATCATTTCCATAAAGGTCCGATTTTTCACATCAACACACGAT